GAAGAAATTTTAATTTTTTAACCAGTTAATTTTCCATATCTAGGATCTATTATGGTAATGTAAAATAAAAGTTTAATTCTGCTGAACTAAATCTCAAATAGATTCAGATTTTTGAAATGTATGAAAATACTCATTTTTTAAAAAGTTTTAAGTTTTTATAATTTTTTTATCAATGTAAATATCAAATATTCACAAGAGATACTTTATATCAGGAAAAAATCCCATGATGTACAAATGATACTCAAAAATTACAATCAAGAAATAACACTTACACTAAAACAAAATTTCTTTTGTTACCTTATATATAGTCTTTATTACAATTCATCTACATAGAAATATTTTCCACAATATGATAGGTAGAAAAGGTTTTTTATTTTTTGCCTTCTAGAGCCCAAGCAAATTTACCCAGTGTTCTTAGTATGTTTCCTTTTAACAATATCTGAACCATTGGTCATAGGTTTGGGGACTGATGAACTAGTGCCATTGGAAGATGATTTTGCTCCACATTTCTTACCCTACAACGAACTGTTGCTGCCAGCCAAAGAGCAGCCAACTCAATATATGCTCAAAAGGAGCAAGAGTCACAGAAGTCTCTGTAACCATCATGGTTATCTTTGTGGCCACAAGAAAGATGGTATAAAGGAATAAGATTATGCTTTGATATGATCAGATACTTGGTGTGCTGAAATGTGAAGAAGATAAGGGACCCCAGCAAGATTACCTTGGAAAGACAGGACATCTTCAGCCACTCCTCTTCTTCTGGGTTCCAATCTCCTTTTACCAACTATTCAAAATTCATGATAATGATACCACCTGCACCTTGGGTCCATCCAATAGCTATCATGACTAGCCAGCCATTTTTGTAATAGCTATTAGCATGTGTGACTCCACCTACTATTTCCAAGTTCTGATCACTCCTTCATTCCCACAGCCAGAAGTCGAGCATATTAAGAATGAATAGCCCTAGGAAATTAGATCCCATGGGCATAAAAATATTGTATAGAAGATTAAAGATGCCAGTAAAATATTAGTATGGTTTGCAAGAAACCTCAGTGGAAGCTCTGGAAGCTCTGGAAGCAGTACACATGATAAAAATCCTCCACCATAGCAGTGGAGCATAGCAGTAGACCAGCTTGAAACAAGATTCTTCCATGTCCCTTCCACTCCTACCAGCTGATGCTTCAGTGCCCTCACAGACACCAGATAGTGGGTGATGTCAAAAAGGGGAGAATGATGATGTGGGAAAAGGCCAGCATCAGCTCCTCCCAGGGAGAGTCCAAGTTACAACCTACCAAAGCTGCCTAAGCAGCCTCTGCTAGGGGTTCCCCTCTGGCAAAGTGGGAGTGCAGGAGGGGACAACTACATGAGCTGGACTCAGGTTTTATTTTCTTTTTGTTAAACACATAGTTATATAAATTTATACAGTGCAGTGCAATGTTTTCATACTTGTATAAATTTTATAATGATCAAATGAATAATTAGCACAAACCTCATACCTCACCTCAAATATTTTCCATTTACTTGTAATCAGATCATTTAAAATCCAGTGTTAACTATTTTGCAACATACACTACATTAATATTTACTGTGGTCATCTTGATATGCTATAGTATGGCACAGAGATTATTCCTCCTATCTAATTGAAACTTTGTATGCTTTGATCAGTGTCTCCCCTCTTCTATCTACTCTATGCCTGTGCTAACCAGCACCCCTTCTGCCTGCCCCGGTCTCCACTTATAAGTGGGATCATTTGTGTGTCTGTTTTATTTTCTCATTGTCTCCTCTAGGTTTATCCATATCACCATAAATGACACAATTTCCTGGTTTGAGGGTACCTTTTTTTATAATAAAAATACTGGGGATTAATCTAAGGATCTGATGTCTAGTAGGCAATCCCTCTACCCCTGAGCTCCATCCTCAGCTCTAATGACCTTTTTGTTGTTGTTGGTGGTGTTAAAATTGATTAGTATTCTTCCTGTGTGTTTTCCACAGTGTATTGTTCTTTTGTTTTGTTTGATTTTGGAGGTGGGTCTGCTATGTTGACCAGGCTGGACTTAAACTCCTTACCTCAAGGAATGCTCCTGCCTCAGCCTCCCAAGTACCAGGCATGCGCCACAGTGCCTGGCTCTTTGTCCACTTTTTGTTTTCTATATTTTCTTATTGTGCATGATAGTTGTACATAATGGTGGAATTTGTTGTTATATACTCATACATGCACACAATATAACAGTGTCATTGTCTAATGTCATTCCCCAGTATTTCTCCCTTTCCATCTCCTCTTCCCTCCCCTGGTTCTTTTTCTCTACTCTACTGATCTTTCTTCAGTTTTCATGAGACCCTCCCCACCTTTCCTTGGTTTTCCTCTCTTGCTTCCACATAAAAGAGAAAACATGTTACCCTTCACTTCTGGGTCTGGCTTATTTCGCTTCATATAATGTTGTCAAGTTCCATCCATTTTCCTGAAAATGGGAAAATTCATGTTTCCTTATGGCTAAGTAAAATTCTATTGTTTATGTATACCATATTTTCTTTTTCCATTCATCTATTAATGGAAAACTAATCTGGTACCCTACTGTGTCTATTGTGAATTGTGCTGCTATAAACATGAGTATGTATGTATCACTATAGTATGATAAGTTTAATTCTGTAGAATAAATACTGAGGAGTGGTACAACTGGGTGGTGACTTCATTCCTAGTCTACTGAGGAACCTCCATATTGATTTCCACAGTGGTTGTACTA